CACTGATGAGGTGGTATGCGTAGGATCATGAGCAGTTCCTTTCCTTCTCCATACTCTTCTCTTCCCATCACTCTGGTACAAGTTGATCTTGGTCTCATCAGTCCATAGGATGTTGTTCCAGAACTGTGAAGGCTTTTTTAGATGTTGTTTGGCAAACTCTAATCTGGCCTTCCTGTTTTTGAGACTCACCAATGGTTTACATCTTGTGGTGAACCCTCTGTACTCACTCTGGTGAAGTCTTCTCTTGATTGTTGACTTTGACACACATATACCTACCTCCTGGAGAGTGTTCTTGATCTGGCCAACTGTTGTGAAGGGTGTTTTCCCAATATTTATGGACCTGACTGTATAAGCAGTGATTGACAACCTGTCTAACCAATTGCTCTGAAGAAGTCCTGGAAGTAGGCGTCAGCGTGGCTACAAGCCTCCCTAACTTCCTTCCTCCTCTGCACGCCATCCCTACACTGCATGGCAGCTCATCAGAACCCACAGCACTGCATTTAATGGCCATGGCACATCATTTATGGTTGGCTACTGATTTGACTCTCAAAACTTGTTGCCATGGCTGTACTATGAAATCCTATGTAACCTACACGTTAAATAAAGTTTGTGCTCGGATCATGTCTCTCCGGGGTATGAACCAATGGCCAGTTGTCAGATGCCTTTTGGATGGGCAGGGAACCCTGATGGGTGGGCGGGAATTCAAAGTGGCCGGTATCGTGGTTAACATTTTCCTAATTCTATCTGACCCGCATACCTCCTCCTTGCCTTCTTTTGCCCTTTAGACCACTTCCATTCTTTTTCTAACCGAAAAAAACAATTACCCTAAATCTCATGCGCTCTACATCACTCTACTGGTTATAAGCAATTTTTTTTTTATTAATTTCAGCTTACAAAACATGCAGTGAAAACTTTTTACACATACTCATCTGCAATTTATTACAATTTTTCCAAACCCCTTTTCCCACATCCCCCCTCCCCGGCCTCCCTTTTTTTCTTTTCTTATTGTTCCTCTGGCCTTCTAAACCTTAGGGATCAAACCTTTTGCCGCATTTAGTAAATGAGGTATCATTGTATTCCTATATTGTTTAACTGTTAGGTCACTGTTATGGAACAGGCACACCGATAGGTCTTTACTTATTTCTTCTATAATTTCTCCTATTTGTTGGACTACGCCCCGCAAAAATTCCTGTATTTTGGGACACTCCCACCATATATGTATCATTATGTCCTCCTTCCCACATCTCCTCCAGCAAAGAGGTGAGTTCTCTGGATGCAACTTATGAGCTTTACTGGGTGTTATTACACCCAGTAAAGCTCATAAGTTGCATCCAGAGAACTCACCTCTTTGCTGGAGGGGATGTGGGAAGGAGGACATAATGATACATATATGCATCTTGCTATAAATTTATAATTCATCTGGACTGTAATCATAAACTGACTCGTGCCATTTAAAAAAAAATTTTCTCTGCTAATAACCTGTGTTTTCAACTCTTTCTCCCATCTACTCATAAACAGTGGTACTATTGGTTCAGCCATAACAGTCAGTGTCCTATAAATAAGCAAAGTACAATGTTTTTGTGTTCCTTTTAAATTCAGTAACTGCTCTATTGGGTGCAGATTCTTAATCTCAGTGGTTGTGAGAGTGAAACAACGAAATGTCTCAGGTGAAGGTACCGCCATTCATCCATCCTCTGAAACATTTATTTTTTCTGCTTCAACTACTGTAAAAAGTGCTTAACTCCCCTTCCTTTATAATATCCTTTATCCGTGCATTCCTATCTATAATTCAAGTTTCTGTGATAGTGCTCATCTCTGGTGGGAAATAATTTGTTCCCACCAATGGTATTAAATGGAGAGTTATACTCCCATCCATTTTGTTTATGCATTACGTCCCATATCCTAAATACGTTCTTCGTAAGAGTGCTCGTATTTACAGAAAGCCCTCGATGTTGTTGTGGAACCTAAATAACTTTATCTAACTGTGGAATATCAGCATTTTAACCATATTAATTTTGCCTATCCAGGACACAGAGCCTTTTGATATTTTCTTCAACTCCTCTTTTATTTCATTCAATAATGGTATAGTTCACTTGATAGATACTCTTAATTGACGGGGTTAACTTTACTCTTAGGTACTTTAACTCTTTACCTTGCCATTTAAAGGGAAGTTTTTCTTGTAGTACTTGTCTGTCCACATTTGGCATAATAATATCTAGGATCTCCAATTTTGTGAGATTGTGTCACGTACCTGATAGGAGACTGAATTGACGAGGTCAGCCTCACTTGTGGCACTAGCCCTGACCCTGCTGAGGTTGAAACAGAGGGAGTCTAGGGACCAGAGGGACAAGAGCGCCAGAGGTTTGCCTGCGGCTCTTGCAGATGATGACCTTGGTAGGCAGAAAATCCTCTGATTTGGGTACTGTAGAAATGGACCAGGCAGGTACAGTGGATTGCTAGATACACAGCAGCGCCAGGTATGTAGCCAGGACACAGGACTGGAGCGGAGTCGTAGGATAGCAAAGGTCATAACAGTCGGGCAGCGTGGTACAGGAGGATCAGAAGGAGAAAGCCAAAGTCAGGATCAGAGTCGAAGTCAGGAACCGGGGGGCATGAGAGTACTCAGAGTCGGGTCAGGAACAAGCCGGGTCAGCACCAAAGGAATCTTACAGGAAACAAGCAGGACACAGGGGAAAGTTGAAGACCAGTCAGCGCTGAGGTGCTCTTTAAATAGCCCGCCTAGCTTTGATCCCCACCGTGCATGTGCACGTGCGCTTGCCTATGCGTGATCGCGCATTCCCGTGCACCTGCAGACAACCGACCCCTTCGTCCCCGCGATCTCTTCTGCGCATGTGCATTCCTGATCGCGCATCTCCTTACGGAGACTCTCTTACATTGCCCCCCCCCCCCCCTTAGGGGCAGCCTCCGGATGCCCACTAGGGCTCGTTTCTCAGGATGACGACGGAGGTAGGCTTGAAGTATTCGTGGGGCATCGACGTTAGTGGATGGTTCCCAGGAGTTATCCTCTGGTCCATAACCCTTCCATTTGATGAGGAACTGGGTTTGTCCACCCCTCTTTCTACAATTCAAGATAGCCTCCACTTCGTACTCCTCATTTCCCTTCACCAGCAGTGGAGCAGGTGCCTCTGAATTCCGGTTGGGAAACACACTTTGGATGTGTGGTTTCAATAGAGAACAATGAAATACCGGGTGGATCTTCAAGTTAGCTAGTAATTCCAATTCAAATGCCACAGGGTTAACCCTTCTTTTGATGGAAAATAGTCCCAGGAATCTTGGACCCAGCTTCTTTGATGGACAACTTAATTTCAGATTGGCCGTGGACAGCCAGACTCTATCTCCTTGTTTTAATTTAAAATTGCCCTTTCTCTTTCTATCAAAACATTTTTTGTTACAAACAACGATTTCCGAGGCTCAAGTGAGTAACACTTTGCCATTCCTGAGGAACTCCATCCTTTCTTGTACCGCCGGAACAGCGGCCTTCACTGGTATTTCTGGAAGAAAGGAGGGATGGTATCCGTAGTTAGTGTCCCACTTGCCAGTGGTGGTGGGACTCACCTGCCTTGTGGGCTGCAGTACCAGGGCTGGCCAGCGGGTGCTGTCAGCAACCAGAGGCTCACTCCTGCAATGAGCCATCACCTGAAGCTGATTACAATAGGTGTATTTAAGGAATGGCCAGGCCTGTGATCAGGGCCTTGGTGTATGTTTCCCATGGGCCCCTGTACCTGCATCCTGTCTGCTTTCTGCCTGATCCAGATTCTGCTTCGATTCCCTGACTCTGCATGAACAGGCTATTCCTGACTACTCTTCCTCCTGCTCCTTGTGCCCTGCCTGCCCATTTGCTACTGACCCGGCCTGCCCGACTACGCTTAGTATTGTTTCTATTGTTATCTGTTGGAGGTTTGGGTTGGTTGGTTTGTACTGTGTTGTTTTTAGTCTTGCACTGCGTTTATGTTTTGTTTAGTCTTAATAAATTGTCTTATTCACACTATACCTGAAGTCTGCGTTTCCCTGTGTCAGTCCACACATTTCTGGTCATACCCGGATCCCTAACAGAACACCAAGGCCATAACTGACCAGAAGTGGCTGCACAGGGAAGCCATCTTGGCTTATTGTTGCCGGGAAGGATGCATCTTGATGAGGTGGTGTATTTGTCTCTGCTAGTCTTTGATGACAGAGATTATGCTTATCAGACTCTGAAGGAGTATACCAGGGATCAGCTACTAGAATGCATAAGCATCGCTCATTGCCTAGTAGATCAGGGCACAGAGTTCTGAGGTGCAACCATTGATTCAGGTTTGTGCAGAGTTGGCTTCATTTGGTACCCCCGAATGCAAGGATGAATTTTTGCCGCCATTTAGTGCCGACCAGGTAGAGTCCCTGGTGTGGTTATTAGAGGATGATGTGGATTACTTCTTGGAGCGTTATTCTGCATGTTCACAACAGGTGCTAAGAGATTGTATAAACGCAGTGCAGTCTTTGACCAGACAGGCTTTGTGTAAGCTGAGCTTTGTTCAACCCATACTGCAGACATGGTCAGACTTGTTGCACCCAGCCTCAGTCAGCTTGCAACGTCATTCCTCTGCTCAAGGCACTCTTCCTGCATCCCCGACAGCACCCCCAGTGACAGCCCAGTATACTCTGCTAACTACCACATATCAGTCCCCTGCTCCCACTCGCTGCACCTATCCTATCTTTAACCCTGTAAAGAAGTCCTCTGTAGCAACTGCTCCCTCCTTTGTTCCATCCCTCAGCTCTTCTCTATCCACTTACAAACCTGCGCTTACTTCCTGCGCTCCAGTAACTAAAACCAGGAAAAAGCGAAAATTCTTTCCAACCAATACCATCCTGCCAGTATCCAAACCAGTCAGCCTGCCGTCTGAGAACCTGCCTTTCGTGGTTCAGCCTAATACCCTGATGCCCGATGACCCAGTGTACCCTACCCAGCTTGATGTGTCTACCCAGCCTCATGGTCCTATTATGCCAGATAACTCGGTGCTCGCTGTCGAGCCACACGATCCAATGCCAGATGACCCGGTACACGCTGTTGAGCCAGATGACCTGATGCCAGATGACCCGATGCCCACTGTCTTGCCAGATGACTCGGTGCCCACTGTCTTGCCGGATGACTCGGTGCCCACGGTCGTGCCGGATGACTCGGTGCCCACGGTCGTGCCAGATGACTCGGTGCCCACGGTCGTGCCAGATGACTCGGTGCCCGCTGTCGAGCTTGGTGACCCAGTGTCCGCGGTCCTGCTAGATGGCTCGGTGCCCGCTGTCGTGCCAGATGGCTCGGTGCCCGCTGTCGTGCCAGATGGCTCGGTGCCCGCTGTCGTGCCAGATGGCTCCGTGCCCGCTGTCGAGCTTGGTGACCCAGTGCCCGCGGTTCTGCCAGATGACTCGGTACCCGCTGTCCTGCCAGATGACTCGGTGCCCGCTGTCGAGCTTGGTGACCCAGTGCCCGCGGTTCTGCCAGATGGCTCGGTGCCCGCTGTCGTGCCAGGTGGCTCAATGCCCGCTGTTGAGCTTGGTGACCCAGTGCCCGCGGTTCTGCCAGATGACTCAATACCCGCTGTCCTGCCAGATGACTCGGTGCCCGCTGTCGAGCTTGGTGACCCAGTGCCTGTGGTTCTGCTAGATGACTCGGTGCCCGCTGTCAAGCTTGGTGACCCAGTGCCCGCGGTTCTGCCAGATGACTCGGTACCCGCTGTCCTGCCAGATGACTCGGTGCCCGCTGTCGAGCTGGGTGACCCAGTGCCCATGGTTCTGCCAGATGACTCGGTACCCGCTGCCTTGCCTGCTGCTCCGCCTAATGGCCCGGTACCCGCTGCTCCGCCTGATGGCCCGGTGCCCGCTGCTTTGCCTGCTGCTCCGCCTGATGGCCTGGTGCCCGCTGCCTTGCCTGCTGCCCAGCCTGATGTGCCTCTGCCTGCTGCCCAGCCTGACGTACCAGCTCCTGATGCCCAGCCTGCTTCTGGAAATCCTGTGTCCAGCAATCTGCCTTTCTGCAGTCTCCTACAAAAAGATAGGCCTATCAGCAGGAGACCCAGCCAATCGCTTGATTCCGGCAGTGGGATGTCCAGCCAGTTGCCGGACCCAGGCGGTGGAACATTTGGGCCATTACGGACTGTTTGGAGCGTCCTCAGGCCGCTCCTTGGGGGGGTACTGTCAGGAATGGACTTGCTAGTGGTGGTGGGACTCACCTGCCTTGTGGGCTGCAGTACCAGGGCTGGCCAGCGGGTGCTCTCAGCAACCAGAGGCTCACTCCTGCAATAAGCCATCACCTGAAGCTGATTACAACAGGTGTATTTAAGGAATGGCCAGGCCTGTGATCAGGGCCTTGGTGTATGTTTCCCATGGGCCCCTGTACCTGCATCCTGTCTGCTTGATCCAGATTCTGCTTCGATCCCTGACTCTGCATGAACTCCGCCTGTCCTGACCTCGGCTATTCCTGACTACTCTTCCGCCTGTTCCTTGTGCCCTGCCTGCCCGTTTGCTACTGACCCGGCCTGCCCGACTACGCTTAGTATTGTTTCTATTGTTATCTGTTGGAGGTTTGGGTTGGTTGGTTTGCACTGAGTTGTTGTCTTGCACTGCGTTTATGTTTTGTTTAGTCTTAATAAATTGTCTTATTCACACTATACCTGAAGTCTGCATTTCCCTGTGTCAGTCCACACATTTCTGGTCATACCCGGATCCCTAACAGTTAGAGTAAAAGGGGGATTGTTTGGTGGCGGAATGGATGGAATTATTATATGCAAATTCCGCTAGAGGAAGGAGTGATGCCCAGTCATCCTGTGAATATGAGGAGAAGCATCGGAGGTATTGCTCCAGAGTTTGATTTGTCCTTTCCGTTTGTCCATTTGTCTGTGGATGATAAGCAGAGGAGAAGCGTAACTCAATCTCTAATGCCTCACACAGAGCTTTCCAAAATTTGGATGTAAATTGCACCTCTCGATCAGACACAATATTCAAGGGAACACCATGTAGCCTTACAATCTCCGTGATGAAAGCGGAAGCAGTTTCTGTAGCAGAAGGAGTTCCTTTGAAGGGAATAAAGTGGGCCATCTTGGACAGGCGATCAACTACTACCAAAATAGTGGTGAATTCCTCAGATGGGGGGAGTTCCACGATAAAATCCATGGAGATCATACTCCAAAGCTTTTCTGGTACGGGCAAGGATTCCAACAGGCCCCAAGTCTTGGCTCTATCAGATTTGTTCCTCAGACAGACTGTGCAAGATCTTACATAATCCTGGCAATCCTTTACTGTGTTAGGCCACCAAGAAGAGCGAGAGATTAAGTCAGACGTTTTGCGAATCCCAAAGTGACCTGCTAAGGGATGGTCATGACATCTCTGGAGAATGAGCGCTCAAATTTCTTCGGGCACAAAGATCTGACTTTTGTGGAAGTATAGGCCATCCTTAAGTTGCAGTTGCATATCTATGGGAGGTGGATGCTTGTCCATAACTTCTTTTATCTGAGTTACGAGATTGGTCTGTAGAAGTAGAAAGTTTTTAGCAGGCAAGATCGTGTCAGGTTCAGATTGCACCACTGGGTCAGGAAACATGCGGGAGAGTGCATCGGGTTTACCATTTTTTGATCCTGGACGGTAAGTCAGATGGAAGACGAAGAGTGAGAAAAATAGTGCCCATCTTGCTTGTCGTGGGCTGGGTCACTTTGCTGTTCTCAGGTACTCTAGGTTTTTGTGGTCCGTTAAGATAAGAATAGGATGGGCAGCTCCGTCCAGTAAGTAGCGCCATTCTTCTAATGCTGCCTTGATGGCAAGTAACTCCCTGTCTCCCACATTGTAATTCCTTTCAGAAACACTCAATTTCCAAGAGAAGAAAGCAACAGGATGCAGGAGGGATTTGGGCCCCTGCCTTTGTGATAAGATGGCTCCTACCCTGTTTTCTGAAGCATCAACTTCAAGGATGAAGGCCAGAGCAGGGTCTGGATGATTCAGGATGGGGGCGGTCGTGAACATTGTCTTCAACTGCTGAAAGGCTGTTTGGGCCTCAGGAGTCCATCTGAAGGGAATATGTTGCCTGGTGAGCTGAGTCACTGGTGCTAGGATTCCAGAAAAGTCCTTGATAAACTTCCTATAGACGTTTGCGAATCCTATGAAGCTCTGCACTGCTTTCCTATCCTCAGGGATAGGCCACTAAGACGGCGGACACCTTCTGAGGGTCCATAGAGATGCCTTCAGGAGTGATCACCAGTCCAAGAAATTGAATAGATTGTTTCTCGAACTCTCATTTCTCGGCTTTTGCATAGAGGTGATGCTGGCGTAGCCTAACGTCTTCTTCACATGGTCATGATGACATTCGGGGGAAGATGAAAAAACCAAGATATCATCCAGATAAACGATCAAAAATAGGTCCAGGTAGTCCCAAAATACATAATTTACCAGGTGCTGGAAGGTTGCTGGGGCGTTACAAAGACCAAAAGGCATTACAAGATATTCAAAATGCCCAAATCTGGTTCGGAATGCTGTCTTCCATTCGTTCCCTTCACGAATTCTCACCAGAGTGTATGCGCCCCTCAGATCTAACTTTGAGAAAAAAAACAAGCTCCTTGTAACCTTTGAAGTAATTCGGGGATCAATGGAAGGGGATAACGGTTTTTGAACGTGATTTTGTTCATGTCCCGATAGTCAATACAGGGTCTCAAAGTGCCATCCTTCTTTTCCACAAAGAATATGCCAGCTCCTGACGGTGAAGTAGATGGCCGAATGAACCCCTTTTCCAAGCCTTCATCTATATACCCCCCCGGAGGACCTTTAATTCGACTTCGGATAGAGGCTAAATTCTACTGAACGGAATTTCGGCACAAGGCATAAGCTCAATTGGACAGTCATAGGGACGATGCGGAGGAAGGGTGTTGGCACTCTTTTTGTTGAACACTTCCAGGTACTCGTGGTATGCTGTAGGGACCAGCTTCATGGTTTCAGAATCAGAGTGGATACTGAAAAGAGGATTTGTCACACCTGTCTCTTTGAGGGTGCAGTGAGACTGACAATATTCCGAAGGAAAATAGATCTCTCCAGACAACCAATTGATGGTTGGGTTGTGTGCTTTTAACCAGGGCATACCGAGGATAATTGGAAAAATCAGGGAGGTGATGATGTTCAAACATAGGAATTCTTGGTGTCCTGAGAGAGAATAGCAGAATATTGGCAAGGTATCTTGTGTTACCGGACCAGAACTGATACCAGACCCGTCTGCCAGATGAACTGCAAGTCTTTGAGTTTTAGTGCGGAAGGGAATCTGATTCTGCGTAGCAAAATGAGAGTCTATAAAGCAGCTACAGGCACCTGAGTCGATGATGGCCGGGACCGTGATAGTACTTTCAGCTAGTTGTAGTTGCAGATGGAAAGAGAGGTGCGTCTGGCTTGTTCCCTGTGGATGCATCATGTAGAAGCAGTTGGGGGAAGGTTTGTGAGGTTTAATCGAGCAGGTAGCCACGAAATGTCCTGCTTGACCACAATAGAGGCAGAGATTAGACTTCTGCCGTCGGAGGCGTACTGCTGTGGATAATGGTGGTCTCTAAAAGCTCTAACTGGATTGGTGGGCGCTTCAGACGAGACCACATTTGTAGCGGGCCCAATTTCATGGCATAACAGAAGTTTCCAACTAGTTTTTTCATTCGACCTTTCCCGGATCCGACGGACAATATGGATCGTTAGGTCTATCAGACTTTCCAATCTTGTTGGTACCCCCACTCGGGCCAGCTCATCCTTCAGGGTGTCAGACCAAGACCAAGGCGGAACTGGTAGCGGAGAGCCGACTCATTCCACTGAGTATCAGAACTCCAGATACAGAAGTCAGTGACATAATCCTCCACAGGCCTTTGGCCTTGTTGTAGCTTACTGTTCATAGATTCCGCAGTTTGGCGCTGGAAGGGATCTGCGCTATTGTGGAAAAGAATGAATCCACAGAGGTTAGTGCTGGATCATGCTGTTCACGAAGATGATATGCCCAGGACTGGGGTTCATTTCGAAGGAGGGTGATGACAAACCCCACTTTAGTATCTGGTGAAGAGAAGGTCCTGGGGAGTAGTGAAAAATATAACTCGCAGGAGCTACGAAAAGTCCTGAACTTCCGACGATCTCCTGTAAAGAACTCAGGCATGGGTAACCGGGTTTCCAGTAGGACAGAGGTTTCAAGGAACATACTGGTCTCTGTTTGAGTAGCTGTGCCAAAGGTTACTGTGTCTGAGAGGACATTAGAGTCGGTTCGCAGTTTACTCTCCATGTTTATGAAATTTCTTTGTAGGTCGTGTATCAGGTTGAACAAAGAAGTCACAGCTTGGCGAATGTCCCCCAGTTGTGAGGCCTCCCTTTCAGACTCCATCATTGGCTGACTGGTACTGTCACGTACCTGATAGGAGACTGATAGG